AATGAGTTAGTAGAGTCTGTCAAATATGTTTTGGTAAATTTTCAAAGAAATCTTCTTCTGACTTGAACAGCTTATTTAGATGAGGAATCGCTTCTTTTTTGTTGGGTAATCTGTTCTACTTTCCAATTTTCTGTATCTATTTGTATTCTTCTTAATGTTTTAATTTAACTAGGAAAAATAGAATTTAAAGACAAATATATCAACAAGTTGGCTTCTAACTCTTTTAATTAGAAAGTCAAAATCAATTTGAACTCTTAATTGAAACAGGTGGCTACAATTCTAAAAAATAATTGTTTTGTGGATCTCCAATCTGATATTTATTAAGCCAATGTTAGTAATTTTATTCTTCTTAAAAAATTTTATAAAATGATATTGAAATTTATTCTATTTGCAATTAAAATGATACTTAAATATATTAAAATGAATTGAGAAATACCTCATTCACCTTTTCTGATTTATTTTTAATTGCAAATTCAATCAATATGAATCAGATCAAAATAAATTATTTCTGAAACTCTCTACTGTCTTTTACTGTATTTCTCTATAATACAAAAAGATTTTAGGATGCCAAACAAACAATGAATGTTATCTTGCTAATTGAACCAATTTTCTTTTTAAATAGGCAGTTTTTTTCAATTACTATTTTTTTGATTTTACTAAGTGATCCAAATTTTATAAACGATGACAATCTCTATAAATTAATTGCAGTTTTCTATACACTGGTGTGACCAAAATATTAATACTCAAACCAAGATCTTTTTCTCTTATTTAAAAACCTATTACTCAAATATACTTTCAAATTGAGTTTCAAGACTTATTTCTTGTCTGTTATCTCCTTACATCACTTCATCTTATCTCTAATTAATTTATTAGATTCCCATAATACATTTACTTGTCTCATAATTAAATATAACATTATAAATTGATTAATGATTCTACGTAGAAATATCTTTTTATAGTAAAATATATTTATCGATATCTATCTATTTTATTGCAAAAGTAATACATTTTATAAATGATACAGTTATTTCATATATATATACTTAAATAAATTAAATATGGAAAGAGACAATGTATGTATATACTTATTATATTTTATCTTTTTCTTTGCATCTATACGATAAATTTATTTATGGGAACATCAGATCTAATTGGAATAAGCCTTATATAACCAGCGAATATATGTTTGAAGAAATGATTGTTTTAATGTATATTGATTTTTGTACGATTTGTATCAAGTCTTTGATCCTATTAATTTTGAAAAAAACTCTTATGAATAAATAATATCAAGAATATATTTAAAAAATTAATAGTATGTAAAGTAACTTATGCTATTTATAGTGAAATCTAAAGTATAAATAGGTTTTCAGAAGTAAAAATAGAAAGTAGTATTAAAGTTAATATTCAAAGACAGGAAATGAAGAAATATATATTAAATAAATTTTGAAAAATAAATCTGTTGAATGAAAGCTTCAAATTTAAGTTAAGTCCTTAATCAAGGTTAATATAAAAATAGTCTAAAAGTTGGGATATGGGATATCGATTACAAATTATAGAATAATACGCTATGAAGCATGGCAATGGATATATTTGAATGATAGTTTTAAAGAGTATTTATTACATAGTCTAAAATAATTATAATAACAATTCCAGTAATAAAATTAATCTCTCAAAGGTTATATACTTATAAAATCGATTGTTCAAATCAACCTATTTACCATTTTTCACAATTATCAGTAAAAACAAAAACCCCTAAAAATAAAAATAGATGAATAAAACTACATTTTCACTAAAAGATTTAGACTGCCTACTCTATAAAGGATATGCTATAGCCCTATTTTTTTCCGTTTATTATATTAATCTAATAATGTAGAAACCTTATACTATTAAATCCTTCATTCAAATCTGTTAATTTCCCATTCTTTAATCTTTCTACATAAGAACCACACCCACTAAATATGTAATTTTACAATTATATATAACTCTATTCTAATATCTATATTGCCAAACTCCTTTTTCCAAGTATTTAAGTACTCTCCA